CACCTGACTCTATGTAAGAATGAAAGCTGAAAGTTGCCACAACTGTTCATTTATCTTTGTAAACATAGTACAGTTTAAACACAGAAGGAAAGGAGAGGAATTCTTTCTCTTCCCATTGATTTTCCATAAATGAAGTTAGGAGACCACACACAGGGAGAAAACTATATTTGTGCCAAAGTGACTGTAACACTTGCTGCGAGGACAGATCACCACAACAGATAATTTTCTGATACAAACTATAAATGAATAAATGAAGACCCCCTGCCTCATTTAATGGATGCATTGGGTCCATGTAGTTGCTTCATAATTCAGAAGATAAACACAGGTATCTATAATTCTAGTAAATAAAAACTTCATGTGCAGCCAGCATCCTGGTACCAGCTAAACAAACCCGCCAAAGAATGTTAACATAATTACTGGAATCATTGTCAAACAATGAAGACGAGAGAAGGGGATGTACATAGCTGGAAGTGGAAGAAGTCTGCGTTTTAAAGTTTCCTTGAGGCTGTCTGCAAAAGCAGGCCGAAGTTGGCTGCTGAGCACGATAGCATGGCAACACTGCAGAAACGAAAGTCACCCTAAGGACCAATTCTTTTACACTTTCTTTGCTGAGGTAGCCCATACTGTTTTAAAAATGTTTATTATCCTTACTTTATTAATAAAAGTGGTTTTATTTCAAATGTGATTTTAATGTGGTAAGCATTATAATGACTTCTAAAGGCTATAGTTGTTCAGGTTTGACTTTTACAGATATCATAATGTCTCAATTTAATTGAAGCTTTTTCATGTGAGGTATTATTTGGTTAAAATGCTTAATATATGTAGTAAGTTATTTGTAATTGAGTTTGTATGAAGGCTTTTGTTTCCTTGCACTCTAGAGAGTTTATGGAATATTTATATTCATTGACTAAATTGTTCTCCTGACTTCTATCACTCTTGACACAATATATCCTGTCTTGTGATCTAGGTAGTATCTCTGGTGCAGTTACTCAGTGATCCCTTTTATAGGACACTTGAAGGCTTCCGAATGCTGGTGGAAAAAGAATGGCTCTCTTTTGGTCATAAGTTCAGTCAGCGTAGTAATCTGACTCTCAATTGTCAGGGTAGTGGATTTGCTCCTGTTTTCTTACAGTTCTTGGACTGTGTGCATCAGGTAAGTCAATCTCTGTCTAAATTTAATTTACAAGAAGAATTCATAAATAAGTGCATAGATGATACTATTTTAGATGTTAAAGATAATGGTTTGAGGAAGACTAGTAACCTCCTTCTCTAGGTTTTATTAAAGTGAATGGATTTCACCTCAAGAAGAGCTGGAATGATTGCATAGAGGAGACTGACCCATTCACACAAAGACTACAAGGGATGATTGGCATTACGGGTCTTTTAAGGTCATTTATGCAGAGATTTCAAATAGAAGTTTTTGAAGCTTAAGACTGGCTTTTGGGAGTCTGGAGTACCTTTACTCAGAAGAATAAATTGATTGTTAGTACATTGACTAGACAGGTTTTAATTCCTTGTTGTTTGATGATGAGCTTTGAAGAGACCTTGTACTCCATCAGTTCTGGAAACAATAAGCTATAAACCAGGGGGTCCTGAAATGTTCTTATTTTTATATATACTGCATGTTCAGAAGAAGATGAACACCAACAGTTATGCCATGTAGGAAGTAGTTAGGTTAAGAATATTACTCTCATTTCAGGTGTTCTGAACATGTTGAAGAAAATAAAAAATTTGTTTGTATCCCTATGTTGAACACCAACAGCCATCATTATTGCTGTCTTGCAAGTTAATAAATCATATACTTGGAATTTGGTTCAATTCCTACAGCATTCCTCATTAGAAAACATTACAAGTATTTGTCACCTGTTTCATCAATCTCTTTCCCAACGGCTGTGGTCTTCGGATTAGTTTTTATTTGAAATGGGAAGGTTTCTCTAAAGAGAATCAGTGCTGCATTTTTCATTCAAGCAAGTTAATCTGCCCAATTGTCACACTAACTATTCCTTACAATAGCTTAAGGTTATTGTTCATTTTCTGAAGCAGAAAAAACAAATTCTTGGTTGCAATGGCTGCAACAGGACAGAATAGCCGTGTCTTCCAATACTGAAACCCATCTGCTTGCTGATTTGTTCAGTTCTGTGTGTAAATCATTTGTGCGATTTTCTCTCTGCTGTCAGATGTCTTCTCCGAGATTTAATAAGCTGACTGAATAACACTGTCTGTTAGTAGAATGGAGTAAACCTACATTTGATTTCAAGCAGTAGTGTAGTGTTGAAGTGAATCCCTCCAGCATCTCCCCTTACTATTTGTTGATGCTGTTTTGGTGCATGTGTACTAGATTTTTCTTGGAAGAATTTAACCCAAAAGTTCTGCTTCAGGTATATGCTAAATGCTCACCAGCTCTTAAAAGAATTTGAACCGGTAAATCATCATTTAGCTTAAAACCATGGGGGTCATCATACAATGGGGTCATCAACTCAACTGGACTAAATCTAGCCCAAAGTAAGACAACAAATGTGTAGTATAGGTGCAGGGACCTCAGAACCAGCTGCTTCAGTCTGTTTCTCTACTCCTTTTGCTTTGAATTACTTGCTAATGTAGACATAGCCTACATCCTGTTTCTGACCCTGGAAACACTTTGCTCCAGTTTTACTGTAATATATCTTAGAAAGTTGACATAAACAAAAGCAAGGAAATTATCCACGCATAGCTCTACCGTATTTTTTTTTCTTGAGTCCAGAGAACACACAAACTTTGGAAACAAATAGTTTATTCAGAAGGAAGATAAAAAGTAAATTCAAGAATATTGGTTTATTGTCGTAAAACAGAATGTATGATGTTTTCTTCATGGCAAAATTCCTGGGTTTTCTTTAAGTTATGTTTAACACAATCTGCAGTTCTCAGAGCATGAAATAATGGATTATGATCATCCTGGCTTTAAAAGTTAGGATGAAATGTAAAGTGGGATAAATCCCTGCTGTTAACAGCTGTCAGGTATGATTTTGCCTCAAGCTCCAAGGTGCCTAAAATATTCCTACTATACATGTGAATGAAAGGAAATAGAAGAATGTTCCCTTTGTAATTCATCTCAGAGCAGCTTTGATGCATGTCACTAGGTATCTAACTCTTCTCTGTCTTTAAGAGGCATACAAGTCACAGATAAATTTTGCAGAAAGATCTGTATTTTCTGGTTTTTGGTCTTAAGCTGCATCCACATGCCCTAGCTACAGCTATATCAGCAGAAAGATTACCTCCTGCAGGCCATCTAGGGCTATTCATTGCTTCTCTGCTGGAGATACTGCCCTTCCAGTCTGTTAGCTAAGGGGTTCATGTGAACCTGCCTGCCTTTTCCAATCAAAGTGGTAGAAAAAATTGGGTAGAAAAAATCGTCTTATTTTGATGGGTGTAGGTTTAGAAGCCGATCAGCAGGTCAATCTGAAGGAGGCAGTAACTTCTCATGAGGAAAGATACGAGCTGTCTAGGGGTTATAATCTTTTCAGCCACTGTTATCATCAGCCAAGAAGGGGCATGGGAACACAGCTTTACTGCATAATCAGTATAATATAGATAATACAGACTTTTTTGTTATTAGAAAAAAAAATAAATCTTTAAAGTATTTGCAGTCCTGTTCAGAATGTAACTCTGAGTAAGTTTTCTACAAATTGACTTAGGAATATTAGTCTTCTAGCTCATGGGATCATACTATTGACGTACCAAATTGTAACAGTATGGTTGTGAACTCTAGGGAAATTACTTTTGGAGTCAAATTAATTGTTGAAGTTTCATAGGAATTTACTGTGAAAAATAAATTTACTTAATTTAAATTTACTAAGTACTTAATTTGTACTTGAACATTTCTGTTAAGTTTCAGTGGTTTCTGTGCATGTTGTTTGGCAACTACAGAATCCAATTAGATTGCAACTTGACCCTGACGTGTGATATATATTATGATCTGTTTTTAAAAATTGCCCGTTCACTGGAAATAAACATTTGGTCCTTCCAAAATATTTTTAATCATTATAGTTAATATATGTTAACATACTAGGTGCAGCAAGAAGGTCATCATAGAGCCAGTATGTGCATTAAATGTCATGGATTAAACTAAAGATACAAAGAAAACAAATGAAGCAGTGATTCCTAAATTAGAACTGCATCATCTTGTAAAAAGTCATTGTTTATGCCAATATCTCCAGGTGTCAGCTGAATTATTAATGCAAAGTCATTCTTTCACAATAGCAGCATCTGGCAGATACTCTCTCTGCTTCTAAGATGACTGAGTTTATGAAAGTGGTGTCCATGCTGGAAGCTTTTCTCATTTTTCTTCTGTATCTATTTGCTAATTGATTAAATATAATTAAAACAGAATTATTTTCTAGCACTGACTTTTAGGCTCAATAAGGAGCTCTATTACAGCACCCTGTGTAAGAGAAGGTGAGTGTGCTACTCCCATGGTAGATGTATTCAGTTATTCCAGTGTTTGCAGGATTACTAGCACAGGATACTTTTGAGTACTATATTTCTTATTAAACTAAGTAAATATTGATATATAATGGGATTACAAAACCAAAATGTATTGAAAAACTAAAGAAGGCTGATATAGTGTAAGATTATGAAATACATTTAGGAGATATTTACTTTAATCAGGAACATGGTGATTTGAAAAAGAAGTCTTAAAATACTGAATTTCTCTAATAATATTAGAAACACCTACTGGTTTACTTAGGTTTTAAATGTTCATAAGTTATGGAGATTGAGCATTTTAAAAGATGATACAATTGTAATTTTCAAAGATACCTTGTCCCTGTACACTTCTCTTTCTAGGTGGTGTTTGTTGAAATTGTGAATTATAGAACATTACTTCTAACTTACATGTAAATTTTGAGTATATCCCTTGAATTATGTGAAACGTCACCAAAAAGTTATCAGAGAGAAACCAGCTATATTTAACCTCGACCTAAGTCGTTACATTGCCTACAGTAATAAAATTATCTCTTTTATGTTTATTTTTAATTGCTTAAATAAATACAATTTTTTTCTCCTATGTTAACTTTCTAATTTATCACTTCTGATGTTGGAGCTTTTTTCCCTTATAGCTCAGTCATGTTTTAAATTTTGCAAACTGAACTGCAGCTAAACAAACCATCAATAACAGTAGTCACTACACATAGCTGTGGCATCTTTCCCAACTCCAAGCGTACTGAAGTCAGCCACAGCCATTAAAACAGACTATAACAATAACTACATTATTCATCTTTATCAAAGAAATGTTTTCTTACTTAAAAAGTAAATTATTATAACTTCTAGTTACTTGTAGTTCCAGAAATCTCAGAAATGGGATCACTCACAACACCTATATTCATGGCAGGATTTTAGTAGAAGCTTATTCTTGTAACTCTTCAAATGTATTAAAATAATTATTCGGCCATAAGTAAAAATGAGGACCCTGTATAAGTCATGTCAAGTAGCAGCATGTAGCCTTCCTTTCTTATAGTATGTTAAAGAACACTTCTCCTAAGAAGGAGAAAATGTGTACTAATGTACTAATGTGTATGTATGTATATGTGTCTAAATGCACACACATATGCAGACCTTTTTGGATTTCAGCTCCAAAGTAATTTTTGAACAGCGTTACTGTACTGGGATTACATTTTAATCTAAAATGACAGAAAAAATATTTTTTTTTAATAAAGAGAACTAAGAAGTTATCTATAAAGCTGATGTCTTGAATTTATTATAGAAAAAGTTTTA